CCTGTACCCACTACTTCTTCCAACTCGTACTTGGTATATAAATTATTCGAAAAACCAAATTTCTTTGTTACAAGTGACTCAATGTGCTCTGTTGGAGTTGACACTGAAAATTTCGCTTTTCCAAGTGATGTTTGGCTTCAAACGGAGAGTTTAAGAAAAAAAGGGAAGGCAAAAAAATATATATATATATTTCAAAAAAGTAAATTGAAGCTGAAATTTTAATATGTCAAATCCTCAAATATCAAGAACCCTACTATTATTTACTATTTCAATCCCCTGTAAAAATGGGAACAAGAAACCATTAATTAAAACTTACAAAAAATGGAAACTATATAACCTTGCAACGCCTTCTTTTGATGCAAATAGATTCCATGATTTTAGTTTCTATCCAATAGCTAGTTCATACATAGAAAAAGTAGCAGAATTATTTCGTTCCAATTAGAATGTCAGCCCATCCATAAAGTATGAAAGAGCACTGATGTAATGTAAGTAGAACTTTAATATTGAAGCAGATAAAATGTGTTTTGTTGTTAATTTCTTGTAAAGCAATTAGAAATAACTTAATATAAGGTGGTGTTGAATAATAAAATTATTCAGAATGAAATTATACATTTGAAAAGTCCTGCAATGTAAAGTAGATCTGTAGTCAAAAGAAGAAAATAGTTAGCCGAATGAAATGTTCTAAAATCCAGAAATTAAGAAATTCATCAACAGTGATGAGAAAATCAACGAAGCAGGATCGGATATTAAGATCGCGGAATAAACTTCCAACAAATGTAACTATAATAAGTCGGTAATTACTGAAATGATGAAGAACACTTAGTTGTTTGTATTGGCCCAGAATGATGGACACCTCAGGTCGGCACTTTTTGATTTTCTCCTTAGAGTCGCTATATTATTAATACGGAGTTATAAATATATTGAGACCTCAACATATTTTCACATACTATCACATCATTATTTCCCCCTTTTACTTTTCTTTCCTTTGTTTTATCAAGAATTTATTAGACAACTTCTCTTAAATGCTCTCCAACCAAAATGGCCCAATCCCTAACATATTGGGCAAGCTACAAAAACTTCGTTTCAAGTCAATGTTACTCTCATTGCACTTTATGTTATATAATATTATTTATTTTAGAATTTATATCTTGAGNAATCCCTAACATATTGGGCAAGCTACAAAAACTTCGTTTCATGTACATGTTACTCTCTTTGAACTTTATGTTATATAATATTATTTATTTTTGAATTTTTTTCTTGAGCTTTCATTCCTGTTTGTTGGATTGAAACTTTGCCCTTCAAAAATAGTAGACAAATGGGCTTCGGTGTTTTTTAGGGGTGTCATTATTTTCGTATTTACTCATATTTTTCTTTTCATTCTCAACCTCTTCGTTTTTCTGATTATCTAGTAGGCTCCCAAATTTCTTTTTTTTGGGCTAATTTACCTGTTATCCTCACAGATTCCCACAAAAAATAAGTATTTGTAAGGTTATTGAAAATTTAAATCCATAAAAGTTTGTTAATTAAGAGTTTCGTTTCCATGCAATATTGATTAATATTCTGCAATCTCATCCTCCACTAATGGATTATTTTACTCCTTTATGCAGCCTCCAATCT